ATTTATATAACTGGTATTGGCAAAATAAAGAGGTCATTATACAAACTTTTAACTCTGACAAAACTCCACTTCCAATTTTTAAAGTTTTTGTTTTGTCAGATGATGAACTGTCTTATACAGAAACAGAATTTTTGCGTCAGTGTCAGATAGAACTGAAATACTTTTTTTTACTTTTTATTTTATTTTATTGTTATTCACCTCTCCGAGGCAACTAGAGTTGAGGAGGCTCTTTTTAATTGTGGTTATAACCCTTTACTAACTCTTTAACTCTAAAACATGAAACTTGACAAATGCTGCTCAATCAATAAAAAGTTTGATAGGACTTTGATTTTTATAAAATATTTATTTTTAGCAGAAGGAGAAGAGATTACTGAACCAGTGGTTTTACTGCGTACACACTTTATGCATGCTTCTAAAAGTAAATGCTAAATTAAACTATTCTTCAGTTAAAACTACAGCTTTTAATGTTGAGTATATTCTTCTACACATTAAATCTTTTTCATTTAGAAATAGATTTAAATTTGTAGAAGAATCTTAACTGATATAAAACTTTGTAAAATATACTAAATAATATATTGTATTTTATTGATAAAAGTTATGTTTTATGATATGTTACTTAGAATATCATATCCCCTATATATAAAAATCTTATCCAACATCAAATTTTGTAAAGTATAGGATATAAAATCAATTTTTATCTTAGAATATCATATCACCAATGTTTAACAGTCATATTATGTTGAAATTTTTTTTCTTTTTTTTTAAATATCTTTACTTCCAACAAGGCTGCAAGGACTAAGCAACCACTATTTAGAGTTGGAAGTTACTGAAAGAGTAAAGATGAAGATTGTAGAGCAAGATAACAATTGACTGACAACTAAAAAGGTTGCGATTTATAGAGATAAAGAATAAAATCTAAAGTAAGAAAGTGTTGAGCTCGATAAAAAGATGCAACCTTAACAGATGCTAATTTTGCAATGGATTTGATATATGGTTTCCAAGAAAGATCAGAAGTAAGAGTTAATCCTAGAAGATGAAGGGTAAATTACTCATAGAGTAAATTACCATTCATAGATATAGGAAAGTCTAAATTATTGCGATAACAATTGGCTGACTAAATTGAGTTTTATCTGAACTAAAGTTCACTAGCCACTATGAGCTTGATACTGTAGTAGAAGTGAGATCCTTCAATTCAAGCTCAAATGCCCCCTGCAAGCAATCAGAGAGTGTTGGCTTCTTATCAAACAATGCCACCTTAGATGTAAGAATATCTGGAAGATCATTAATGTAAATTAAAAAGAGTATAGGGCCAAGGAATAAACCTTGAGAAACCCCTAATATTACAGAATAAGAAAAAGAGTGCTGTCCATCACCGACAACTTTTATACTAGATTGGAAAAGAAGGATTCAATATTATTACAGATCTTACCAGATTCACTGTAAGAAGAAAGCTTATGGAGAAGACCAACATGCCAAACTTTACCAAAAGCTTTAGAAATGTCAAGAGCGTTGGCTATAAAACCACTCGGTTATTACTGTTAGCTGTAGAACAAGAAGATCAAAATCCATATTGATGATCAGAAAGTAAGTTATTAGATTCAAAATGAGAGATTAAGTGTTTGTTAATTAAAGATTCAAAAAACCTTGCTTATGATAGAAAGAAGACTAACGAGACAGTAATTAGGCAAATCAGATCGCTCTCCAGAATTTTTGAAAATAGGAATAACAGATGCTGCTTTCCAGCAGGCTGGAAAACAAGACTCTGATAAGCACTTGTTGAATAGTTTTGAAAGGATAGACAACAGCTCCAGAGAACACTTCTGCAAGACTATAACAGGTATGTTGTCCGAGCAACAAGCTGTAGAAAAACCTTTAAACCTTTTAAAGCAAGAAATCACTTTAGATACAGAAGCTGGAGTGATACGAATGTCAAATAATGGATCAACTGACAGCTATATCAGGTAGAATGCTAGTGGAATCAAGAGATGATGTTGATGAAAAGTTCTTAGCAAACAATTTAGCATTGTCTTTAGGTGAGGTGACAAAGTCTAAACCATACAAGAGAGGTGAAATTACAGATTAGCTCTTATTATTGATACTATTAAAGAATATCCAAAAGTCACAAAAGCCTAATTTTTGTGATGAAATACGAGATTTTATGACCTGAGAATTTTGGCAATAGACGGTCTTTTTACAATGGTTTCTACCAGTAATAAACAAAATTCTGCTTTCTAGAGAATTGTTTTGCTGATAGATATAGGAGTAACAGTTTCAATTGGCAATTGCAGCAGCATAATGTGTAGAAAACCATGGAGAAGAGTGAGGCTTGAACTGGAATCACCAAGAGGGAACAAAAGATTCCGTGCCTGCCTGAATCCATAAAGTTACGTAAGAAGCACATTTTAGAGAGATCTTAACTGTGATCAGAAGCAGTTAAGAGTGAATTTGGAGAAACTGAGCACTGACTAGGATCAGAAACAAGACATAAGTCAAGTAGAGAAGGTAAATGATTCGAGTTGTCTGGAAAGTGAGTTGAAAAGTTGAATATTTGAGTTAGAGATTGAGAAAGGCAAGAGTTGTGGGCTTTAATGCCTGCAGAGTCACTGACACTAGAGCCAAGCCATTCAGTTTGATGAGCATTAAAGTCACTGACAACAACAATATTGGCTGATGGATAAAGAAAGAGGGCTTGGTCAATATGATCAGAATTAACATCAAGAAGAGCAGAGTCTTGAGATGAAGGAGAGCAATATAGAACAAAGAGAAAGGCAATAGAGTGAAATGATGCTAAATGAAAATACACAAAAAAATAGTCTGTGGATTCAAATCTAGTTTCCCGACAAATAGGTGAATTCTTACAATTGTAAATGCCCAGGCCAAGCATGTGATTATTGGAGTCTTTACGAATTAAAGTAAGATAACCATCAACACTAAAATCACAAGTTGAGACAGCTGAACTCAAATTAGTCTCACAAAAAGCAAGTAGGTCTGATGAACTTTGCAAGAGATAAGACTCAACAAAAGAAAAGTTACTTCTAAGACCATGAATATTAGTGAATGAGTTTTTGGTACTTTATTCATTTTTAAATTTAAAAGAACTTGACTCAAAGCATAGATAGTACTCAGTACGCTGTTTAATACCCCATGCAATTGCCTCATTAATATTAATAAACTTTAAGCCGCAACAAAGGGCTCCAAATGTGGTCTTGGCAAACAGGGACACCATCCATGCGCAACATAGCACTCTTAATACTTTGATATTTTTTAGCAGTTGATGGAATCAGCTGGAATCTCTGAGAGCTACCATAGAATTTGGGAAACCTGACTACTAACTGGCCTAGAACCATAAAACTGAGTTTTAGAGTTGCGTCAATTACTTTTTGTGGCGGGGTATTCCACTGGGATATATCATGCTTTTTAAAAAATTCCTCTGCATTCAGTTCAGTGCTTATTTCTGTGACAGTCATTGATTATGACCTTGCATAATGATAATGGATAATGGACGACTCAGTTTTTGCATATATTTAAAAATCTAGACTAAATAACCTTTTTTTCTCTCTTTGAGTGTTGTAAGGCTTAACATAGCTCTTCTCTGCTCAGGGGTTTTATGTTTAATAGAGGGAATTTTGAATTTTCCTCAGGATATCTGTGTCTCCCTATTGTTACTTGATCATACCTGGATGGCATACTCCTGGTAAGGTCAAACATATGTGGTGTACCTTCTCATACTGGTAGCTCTTTCCGCAGGTAAAACTACAAAAAGTTTTTTTCAGCTTTCCTAACAATTGGTTAGCTTTTGCAGCAGCGGCTACCGTTATTTGAGCTTTAAGTTTAAGGTTGAATTGAATAATGTATGTATATTTCAAAATAAGAACTCCTAGATCTCTTTCTAAATGAGTAACTTTAAATGCATATATTTATATATATGCATATATGCACTGTATATATATATATATATATATATATATATATATATATATATATATATATATATATATATATATATATATATATATATATATATATATATATATATATTTATATTAACCCTGTATTATATAATTATAATTTGATGTTAAATTTATATGGTTTGGTTACTTTCAATTCAATTAGTATAGTAGTTTCAAACCAAGAAGTACAGATATATAATTTAAATATCTCAGGGAGTTTAGATAGCTAAACTCAGGGAAGAACCTTCTTTACTCAGGAAATACTCAGGGAAAACTCTGGGCAAAACTTTTAAAATTATAGTGGCAACCCTGTATTATATATTAGCATTATATCATATATATATATATATATATATATATATATATATATATATATATATATATATGTATATATATATATATATATATATATATATATATATATATATATATATATATATATATATATATATATATATACACATACATACATACATATTGACAAACATATTAACAAATACAATCATAAATAAATTACTATAAGATAAACTAATCTATATAGCAAATATAAAAACTCTAATTTTATTATATCCAACTTTTTTTTAATCACAAACAAGTCAGTTAAAACTAAAACATCATATTTAGATAAAATACTTTTACTAATTATTGTTTGTAATTCTATAGTGGAAAGTCAGACAACTTAGCTGTACTTTTAAATGCTAACTTTAAATCAATCACATCACATCTGTGTTTTCAATTTTATTATGAGAGATATGATATTCAAGGTGGATACGATATTCTATTAAAGACCAATAAAACTTATTTTACACAGCAAAGATCTTAATGTGCATAACTTTTTTTAAACAAAGTTTAAAAAAAGCACACAACATTTGACACAACATCTACATATAACAAATATTAATTTGAATGTAAATATACATTTTAATAATAACAAAATTTTTATAACAGAAAATATCTAATTAATATACAAATTTTAAAAGCATATTGAAATATTATATATATATTGAGATATTAAAACATAAAACTTAAAACAGATTAATAAAATATTACTTTGTGCGCTGAAAAAGTCTGAAAAGTTGCAACTGATGCAAAACAAAAAAAGAAAAGTTGAAACCAGCATATTTCAATAAAAAAAAATCCATAAGCCATAAAGTCACAACCTAGAATATCAAACACAAAGGCATAAGTAATTTGACTATTATTATTATATTAAAGTAAAAACAAAGTCATAAGTAAGTTATTATTACAAGTAACAAAAAGTAAAAAAACTTATTTAAAGTGTTGTTAAAAGTAATGGTGGTATTTTGATACACAATGACTTTAATAGTTTTTTTTTGAGAGCTGAAATTTTTATGCGTATTTTCAGCATAGCTATTTGTTCTTTTGACTTGGCAAAAATGCAAAAATATTTTTTTTAAGAGATAAAAATCTTTAAATAGAAATCAGAAAGAAAAATAGTAGGTGTACTAAAATATGAATAAAGTTGAAAAGAAAAAATCTAACGTAAATCATAAGTAGACTATTATTACTAAAAGTAATAATAACAGATGCAATTAGTGCATCCAATACCGGTAGTACCGATACCGGAATACCGGCATTACCAGACTTTTTCAAGTACCGAAATACCGGTATTGGGTTTGTCCAATACCAGTATTAAACTTCCAAAAAAAAAAACCTGGAAATAGCATGAGTCCCAGGGAAAACAAGGAAAAATCAGGGATTTTTTTTTTTTTTTAATATTCAGGAAATACTCAGGGAAAATTATTTTCCATTTTTGTAAAATAATGGTTTATTAATTTATTAATAATAACTTAAGTTATGATAAAATTCATAATATATACTATCAGTAATTTTTTTTTTTTAATTGTACACTTGATGTTAAATTTATATGGTTTGGTTACTTTCAATTCAATTAGTATAGTAGTTTCAAACCAAGAAGTACAGATATATAATTTAAATATCTCAGGGAGTTTAGATAGCTAAAGAACCTTCTTTACTCAGGAAATACTCAGGGAAAACTCAGGGCAAAACTTTTAAAATTATAGTGGCAACCCTGTATTATATATTAGCATTATGTCAGTCGCTGAGCACGTGCTTGTGTTTTGCACTAACGCAATGAATGAAAAGTTTGAAGTCGTTACCGCTGATTTCTATAATGGAAATTCTTATATTTTTTATATTTCCTATTCACAAAGCGTATCCGCGTGCACTTGGTTAAAATAGTAAACATTCCTGGAATAGAATGGAATAACCGCTGATTTCTATAAAGGAATTTCCATTATAGAAATACCACTTCCATTATAGAATAACCGCTGATTTCTATAATGGAATTTCCATTATAGAAATCAGCGGTTATTCCATTCCATTCCAGGAATGTTTACTATTTTAACCATGCGCACGTAGAACACTTTGTGAATAGGAAATATAAAAAATATAAAAAACTAATGCAAACTGAATGCAAATAGAAAATTACTTTAAGAAAATTGAAACTTCAGATAATTTTTATTAAAAAAAAAAATGTGCGATTTCAATTAAGAACTAATAATCAATATTTTATTTCTTATGAATTCATTTTTTTTAAAGTCAATAAACATATGAAATGTCTCAAAAGGTATTCGAAGAGTTCAGTACCCGCGTACAAAATGACGAAAATTCTGTGTGGTTTTATTTTCTACGTGATAAAGAAAATCAACTTGCAAAGTGTAAGAAATGCAGCAAAGAGATAAAATCAAATGGTGGCAGTACCAGTGGACTGCATATACATCTAAGAACTAACCATAAAATTGACTTACTGAAAAGAAAATTGGGCCAGGATTCAGCATCGACATCAGTTTCGTTTTTATTGGCACCGTTGCCAATGGCCAAAAAACCCAAACCTCAGATCACCGACTTCTTACAAAATCAACACGACAATTCCTTGCCAGCAGTTTTTTCTAGATTGACTGCCCTTGATGGACTACCTTTTAGCGTATTTGTCACGTCAGCAGAGCTGAAAACATCGCTACAAGCTCGTGGGTTTGTTGTTCCAAAGTGATGAGGATATTAGCACTGACGATGATACAAACAAAACCAATGACAACGAAGAAGACTTTTCCGGCTGATGAACTGCAGCCGTTAATCACTAAGGTGCGCACCGTTGTAAAATTGTTTCGCTGTTCTCCGACAAAAAATGATCAAACACTTCAGAAAATACACAGTAGAGGAATTTGGTAAAGGCCTTTCGTTGATACTTGACTCCAAAACTCGCTGGAGTAGCTTACACACAATGGTCGAACGTTTTGCGAAATTGAAAAACTGCATTCGCAAGTCACTGATTGACCTTGAATCCAAAATTGAAATAACTGATAAGGAGTTCAACTCAATTTTAGATGTTGTTTCCTGTCTTGCGCCAGTAAAATTGGCTGTGGAAGCATTGTGTCGAAATGATGCAACACTGTTATCAGCCGATGCAACACTAATGTTCACGATAAATAACATTGGAGACACAGATTTAGCTGTTAAGTTAAAAGCTACTTTAGTGCAACGAATCAATGAGCGACGTACAACTTTTTCCAGCTTACTGCACTATCTGCACAAGGGCCATCAATGTTACGAAAATTTGGATCCAGCGCTATCTTTCGAACACCTTAGCAAATCGGCCATTGTAAATATTATTGCTCGACTGAATGATTGGCTCAGTCAGCCAGCTTATAATCCTTCCACCAGCGTATCTTCTGATAGCGATTCTGTTGACAACACTGCAAACTTGTCATTGAAAGAAAAGCTTGACATGGCAATTTTAAATAATAAGAAATATAACAATAAGGAAAGAATGAACGTTTCGAATAATTTATCAAAAACCATACGCAATGAGATAGTAGTTTTCGAAGATGGAGGAACTTGCGGTGTATATTTGCAAAATTCATACGAATACTTGAAAACTGTAAAGCCAACAAGTGTCGAATCGGAGCGTGGATTTTCAGCAAGTGGCAACATTTTCACAAAATTACGATCATCTCTTGAAGATGATACTCTGAATGCACTATGTTTCTTACGGGCATACTTTACAAAGGAGAAAAAAGTGAAGAATGAAAAAGTTTGTAATTTTGATATAAAATAAAATAGCATTTTGAATCAAAGAAGTTTTACTATTTACTTGAGATTTTATTCATATTATGATTAATTAAAATAATAAAAATAATACCGGTATTATACCGGTATTACCGGTATTGAAATAATTCAGTACTGAAACACCGGTATTGAAAAATGTTATCGGTATTGGATGCACTAGATGCAATATAAGTAGTCAATTTATAAACAATATATTTTTAAAATAGTTGGTGTTACACTTCAAGGGTTTTTACAAATAGTAAAATCACTAACATCAAGTAAACACTTAATAATTAAAATAATCATGGATGTAATAACAAAAATAATATTCAAAATAATAAACATTAGAACCACAATAATAATAAGTAAAACAACAACAATTAATAAAATGTAACAATTTCTCAATGACATAAAACAAATATTTAAATCAAAAATAATAAAATTGGAATAATAATTGTTCAGTTAAAAATAATAATAACCATGATAATGATAATTATATGGAAATATCAATAAAAAAATTGAAAATATGAAGATGTATATTTAACATTAAACAAAGTAAAACTCTCAAAAAAATAAAATAAACAAAAAACATAACAATAACAAAATTGAAAATAAAATAAATTAAAGTAAATAGGCTTTAAAAAAAGTAGAAAATTCAATCACAAACATATACATATACACATTTTGTTTATTAGGGTTTGGTTAGGGCAGGCAGTCTATCTTTTTTTTTTAAATGATAGACTGCCTGTCTTCTTTGAAACTACAGTTTATGAAAGTAATATATATATATATATATATATATATATATATATATATATATATATATATATATATATACATATATATATATATATATATATATACTTTTTAACTACCATGCAAAACTATATATATATATAAATATATATATATATATATATATATATACACATACTTTTTAACTACCATGCAAGACTATATATATATATATATATATATATATATATATATATATATATATATATATATATATATATATATATATATATATATATATATATATATATATATATATATATATATATATATATATATATATATATATATATATATATATATATATATCCAGTAAATCAAACTAGATATGTTAACATTAGTCCATAAAGTAGCCCATTCTTGTAAAAGCTAATATTACTAGGAAACTGATCAACTTCCTATTAACCCTGTTAAGTTTTCGCTTTTAATCAGTATCTGAAATATCTGATGCAGAATCTTGTATTCCTTTATTAATAATAACCAAATAAAATAAACTAAACTAATAAAAAAACTGTGATTATCAGGTTAACAAAGATTCAGAACTTGTAGGTCATTTTACTGACCTACTCCGGAAAAACTTTTTAGCTTCAGTTTATATGTGTAACAATGTTTTATAACTTTATAATTCTACCTATTATGTTGCGAATTTATTCCTCTATACTCTATATGGTCTTTTTTTTTCAGAACATAATTAAACTTGTCTAAAAAAAATTAAAAAATTAAGAGGCACCCCATAAACGAGTGTAAGCTTATCTGGATTTGCATTCAGAAGAGAACAAAATGTTTGTTCTTAATCATTTTCACATGGAAAATGTTCCAAAATCAACTATGTACTATATAAAATCAACCATGTACAATATACTGCAATAAAGAGAGATCAATATAGGACCAGAAAGAAAAGTTGGAAGTGGTCGGACTGCAAAAAAAATGTCTAAGTAACAGATTAAACACCTAAAAAAATTGATTGATAAGAAGGACGGTGTTTCACAGCATAGCTTAGCCAAAAGATTCAATGTTTTCTAAAAAACTAAGGTACCAAAAAGAACAATGGCTCAGAAACTTCTGTGCATTCTAAGTGTAGAAAATTTGCAATTAATATTTAAAAATAGTTGTTGAAAATTTGTGATTATTGAGAACGAATCATATTTTTCTTTTTTGTGCAACATACAACTTTCTGGCAACGTAGGATATACTTCTGAGAAAAAAATCAATTAAAATCTTTACAAGAGTTAACTATGTTTGTCAAAATGGAATGATAAACACATAATTTTTATTT